AAAGAGGTGGCCATGTCCAGGATGGGCAGGGAGACGGAGGGGGTGTGAGGCTAGTTTTCCCTCTTGCTCGAGAAATAAAGCCGTTTCCTCAGAAACTGTCCAACGAGGGTCTTTGGCATGCTGCTCCATGAGACCCGTGTGCTGAGCGCCGGGGAAGGGTGACAGGGATACGGTGAGGGCCTTGTGGGCAGCGGTGCCACAGCGCCCCACAGCAGCCCCAGCACCCTGCCAGGAGGTGGCCGGGACGCCTGGCAGAGCACAGCTGCTCTACAGAGCCATCCTGTCGCCTTTGGATGGGACAGAGAATTGGTTTTAAAAGCTCTGGACCTACCCTGTGTCCCTCACATGGCCGCACACCTCAGAAGGCTGACTGCAGGAAAACCAGAAAATACTCCAAATTCTGTAAACTTATATGTTTTATTATCACTGAGCATTTAACTCCCAGTCCTCAAAAGTCTGTTTCATGCAGGGGAGGTGATGAAACCAGTTAAAAAGATTAAGAATTAACGCTCTCAAGATAACAAAGAAAATGGGCCTTGCAGCAACAGGCTGAGTAGATATTGATTCTGTGAGATGCAAGACCCTGGGAGCTTGGACCTGGGTTTCAGCCATGAAGATAAATAGGAAAGCATGGAATATGAAGTCTGGGGACTAGTCGGGACGTGTCAAATAATTATACCTAAATCGGGTACCTGAGTGATATGCAGGATTACAGGAGGCAGTTTTTGAAGAGGAACATAAATGAGTTTAAGCGACTGCAAGCTCTGTTACGACTGCAGTAAATTTGAGCCAGGGACAGCCTTTAAGAAGGTGTCAGAGAAATTACAGTTTTCATTTGGAAAAGTGAGTCTGAGACCAGAGATCAGTCTCAGTTGCCAGTACAGAAATGGCTGTTGAATTTATGTTTGGAGATACTACATAGAAGAGACATTGCTGAAATATTCTATAAATTCTGTAACAGTATTCTGAAGATTATGCAAATTCAAAATTCAGTATTTGATTTTTCCCAAATGCCTAATGTTTAATCCCACTTTTCACAGTAGGTTATTGATTAACACTCGGTAAACAAGCATTATATATTTATGGATATCGTTCAAATTGGAACCTTACTTCTTCTCCAAAATGGAAAACCATCTATTGCTTTGTATTTTATTATTGATTCCTGCCTTTGCATCGTCAGACTTTTTGGTAACACATGTCCGAAACATCAAGGTAAGTAATCAACCATGTGTGGGTCTACCATTCTTCATAGGTTAACTTCCTGCCATTTATCAACATTTACCAGAGAGTTCATGCAGTGCTGCCACCAGAAGCTTTGTGTTCCCTGTTAGCAGTGAACACAAGACCAGACTTGAGACTCAGACTGCTTTACCTCTAACCAGCCTCAGTTTTGAAGCAGTTCTGAAGCAGCTCTCCTATCTCTTTTTAAAAGCATCACTATCCTCTATTTTCCATGTCATCACCGTGTAATGGTAAAATGTTTTAGTGGTCTTATATTTAAACGTGTAAAACAAATCAGTGCTGCCAGGGAACTGACTTTAGCACCTGTAAAGCAATGCAAAATAACAGTGAAAAGATGCCTCCAGGAAGCAGAAAACAGAGATGCAACATGGCATCTAGATAAATATGTCCACTATCCAAGTGACATGGTAGGATTTTTCTGAAATGACTTGCACTTCAGCATAACATGAAATACATCTCTGTCCCTCAAAGGGACCATTCTGGTTTTGTCTGGATCTCTGAGTAAGGCAGTGCTTCCTGATGTTCTGCCTAATTTTCTTCAGTTAAGTTGCCAGCCACTATTTCTCATCTCAATAAATGATTTTCCTCTCTCTCAGTAGTTACGTACTATGAAAAGCTGCAGAGGGCATATCTCTTTAGGGAGCATTGTAGATTAGTGGGTATAACAGGACAAAGCAATTTACAGTCAATTTCTGTTGATTAGGTTATGGTCTTTGCCAAGACTTTTTCTTTGAAAACCAGGATAATAACATATCTAACTTTTAAAAATCAGCTTGAGATTTATTGCTGCAAATTGGAGATGCTATAGGTTCTTACTATTTAACCGATATGTAGCCCAGATACAATGTAGCTTTTTCCTCTAGATTACCATACTGCCTGTTGTTCTCTGTGTGTCTTGCAATGCTAAAACTTTTCTAAATGGAAAATGGCCAAAGCTTTGTGCAGTGCTCTGTCCATATATGCAGAACACTACAGGAAAGTCAGTTGATTTTCTCAGTTTTGTCATATACTTTATGCAAATGTGGATATACTTTATGCATTGATGGAGATGGAGGAGAATGCTTTGTACTGTGAAGGTCTCGGATACTTTATTGTATTTTTAACCCTCTCTTTGGTGGAGCAGGTAATGCTTGCACAAAATGTGACCTATGAGGCTCTTAGAACCAACAGAGATAAGGTATTTGCAGCTGCGTTTACGGGAATGGAATTACACAAGCTGTTATTTTAACATGATTCAGTAAGTATCTTTGAAGCCTTTTCTCTCAGAAAAGAGAGCACATGGCATTTTTGTAGAGCTAGTATTTGCACCTGGTCTGGGAGCAAATATGCCAAAAAAGTTCTAACAGCTTTTCTTCTCTTCCATTCAGCCTTTCATAGTGACCGCCTCTCCTCTCTGTAAGCCTGCTGAATTGCCATTTTACCAACTCATGTTAGAATGAGAGGCTGGGGTGAAACAGGAAAAATTTAGGAGTAAGTCTGACAGAGTTTAAGGAGAAATATGTGTAAACTGGGTTTTTATGCTTTGATACAAACCCCTTTTTTCTTCCAAAGGAGAATTTGTTTGAAAAGACAAAATATATGCCACAGGACCCAGAACCAGGAACTGCCAAGAAAAAGATGCCACCCTCAGTACGAGATATTCTGATTTTACTTTGATGTCAGTCACCACACAGCCATCCTGTAATCAAGGAAGCAATATTAAGCAGATTTTAGAACATTCTTTAGTCTCAACATTTAAATATGAATGGCACTGAGCATTCAAGCCTCTTTTCCGCTCGCTCTTCCCTCAACTCTCTGGCAGTCCATTATTGTTTTTCAGCTGAAAGAAGGTAACTTCTTCTGTCACTTGAGCAAAATACAAGATCACAGCAGCTTCAAAGCTTAACATCTTTCAAACTCCACAGTATTTAAGGTGCACTAACGCAAATGAAAACCAAAATATTCACCAATCTATGAGTGATGTGTGGGAATGCTATAAGGAAAAGAGTTATATCTGTCTTAGATGCCTCACTTACTCTGCCCTTAAATTTACTTCAGTTTACTAATGAGGACCTTTCTCAAGCCTTCCTTCTCCTGGACAGCTTCTTTTGACTTGGAAGCAAAAGACAACTACATAGGTACCCAGTGATTTATTTGTAAATGCAGCTTTACTACTTTAGTCATGATTTTTTTTCCCTTTTTTTTTCTCTTTACAGAAGCGAAATGCTGATAATGACTTGGTGAGTAAAGTTTGGTTTTGTCCGGGCTACTGAGAAAGATTTATAGTTGAAGAATATACTTACTGTATTCACAACATGTTTCTCTGAGTCCAGTCTGAATAAATGAGTATTTTTGAGTGTGTGACAAGGGGAGTAGCCCAGAATTGCTTGGTTTAGGCAGTAGGACTAACTAACCTTTCCAAGATCTGATGGAAACTCCTGGACCATTTTTAACCTTGCTGTAGTTGAATAAATAGCGAAGTTGTTGGAAGTCACTAATACAG